TTACCAGCATGATTGGTAGAAACTTATGCAACTTTATAATTAGTTTCTAGTACACATAAATGCACGATTACAATCTGAGTTACCAAGAATGAAACCTGTTCCTTGCCAAGTAAATTAATATTCTTTTATTTCTAAAATATTCTTTTAGCAAGTCTTTTAGATCTTTACATTCAAACATAAAAATGGCAGAGTCACAATTACAATTTAATTCTTGCGGAATTCCCACTAATTTTGATTTATTCTATGTATATAATCCTAAGAATAAATATGATACTTTTACATTGTCACGAAATCAAATCGGCAAAAATCATTCACCTTCTCGTCTACCAAGTTCCTATTTACTTCTTAAAAATTGTCTTAGGTTGGAATTTGAATCTCAATTCCCACAACATAAATTAGAAATGAGCAATTTGTATAGATTCGCTTCAGAAATATGGAAAACTATGCCAGAGGAGGTGAAATCTATATACGTTAACATTGCAGGTATACATATGTTTTATTTTTTATCTTTATTTTTTTATTACAATTGAAATTATAATTTTAATAAAAATATTTTATAGAGGAAGCAAAATCCATTTATAATAAAAAAGAAATGTTTCCGAATTATAAATTTATGCCAAAAAAAAGAATAATGTTTAAAAGTAACTCACCTTCGCTTTCAGCGAGTTCGTTTTGGTTTTCACACAGACCATACGAACCAAAGAGGACACCAATTTTTCCTTCGCTTCAAGACATTTATCTTTCGTTTGAAGAATCGACAATTAACTATTCATCAATTAGTCCTTTGCCTAGAGGATTGTTGATGTCCGAATTCTCTACTAATCCCAACAATTTTGGTAATTTTTATGAACAAAATAGCCTTGGAGTCTGCTATAAAAATGGCATGGGTACAGCAGAGAATAAAAAAAAGGTATTTGAGCAGTGTTTGAAATTTGCAGAAGGTGGCAATTCTGGTGAGCAATGTATTCTTGGGTTCTGCTATAAAAATGGAATAGGCACTACTAAGGATGAAAAGAAAGCATTTGAGTGGTATTTGAAATCTGCTGAAAATGGCA